GAGGGTACAACAGCCATTGCAAAAAGTAAGGAAAAAACCCGTCACTTTCTTTTCTTCCTTTGGTAACAACAGAGTCCAAAACATTCTCTTTGTTTTTGCAAATGTTTGTTCACTAAAACGTTCCAAAGGGAAAAATGTCAGCTACAAATCCTCACTCATCATGTATTTGCACAGCAATGCTTAAAGGTCCTTAAAGATCTCCAAGGATTTGAAAGAAATTATTCAGTGAGGTAGCAGAAACAGAGCCACTGCCTTCCGGTGTCTGGTTACATGGCTCATGCAGCATATGACAAGTCCAGGCAAGTCACAGTGAACTGATTTCAAAGATCACACACAGAAAAACATTTTCCACCAACCAAATGTATTAAAAGTCTGTTTGAAGCTGACAGACCAAGGAAAAATAGCCAAAATCCACAAGATGGACTTTGGAAAACGTTTTGCTCACTGCAAAGGAATACTTCTCTATTCTGCTCACCTTACAGATGCTCTGCTCCTGTTCTTGCCAAAACCACCACAGTTTCACTCACTTTCCTTGGCACTTCAGCAAAGTCACCCTTTTTCTTCATATGTGCTGGGTGATTCTTTATATACCTGAATAACAGGTGTGTTACAGCCATGTTTTGCATTATTCATCTTGGATGAAGTTACACCCTGACTGTGTTACCAGGGAAAACCTGAAGCAACATTTAGATTTCCAGAATATCCCAAAAATTGGGTGATATTTTCCCAATCATATTCTGTCGTACAGGTCTGTGATGGCCTTTTATGCTACAGGCAATGGGAAGGTATCAACAGCTGACAAAATTACCCTCTGGCCAGTTCAGTGTCATGTACTAATTGCTCCCTCCCTCAGTTGTATGTTCTGAAGGCAATAACCACATTTCACACAGGTGACACACTTCTCTTGTTCAAGGATCCTCTGTTCCCAGATTTCCCGGTATAACTGCAGACCTAAAGCCCCTGAGCAGCTGCTGTTGGACAGCTGAGACTGACAGGCCATCTCCTTTCGTGTGATACCTTGTGCAGACACACATCTGTAATGTGGGGAGGTGTGTGGGGATTGCAGACACCTGAGAAGTCTGTGTTCTCCTTTTAGTTTGACACTTGTGATTCAAAAAGAGCATTTGGGATAGGCAGACCTGTTTGGAATTGCTGGGATGAAAGCAAAGGGAAGAAGCTCTTGTGCATCAGAGGGCTCCTGCTGAGCATCCCAACAGTTATCTTTGACCCAGAACCACTTTCCACAAAAGCTATCTACCTCAACTTAGTTGCTAAAACTTAGTTCTCTTCTTGGAACAGAGCACATGGATCTCCTTGCTCTGTGAGGTCCACCTGTAGCACTGGTGAACAGGAATTTCCAGGAATGACAACATTCTATAGAGCTAAATAAAGAAATGTCGATGAGTCCTAACTACTGCTGGTACATCATTTTCTAACAGGGAATTCTTATCTTTCCACCTCAAAGTAACATTTGACTGCAACATGAAATAACTTTCTGCTTGACAGATTTTACGACTGATCTAGTCCCACTATCCTGGCATCCATTACAATTAGTTTCCACTGTAAGGAAAAGAAAATACAATTTTTGCAGACCAAAGTAAACAAGAAAGTTTATTTTCTGGAAATCCTTCTTCACTCCTTACACATTACTCACTTTACCTCACTCCTTACACATACCTCACTTTACCTTTGGTTTGGGTTTTTTTTGGTTAAGTTTACCTAAAACGCATTTAGGCTGGAATTGTTCTTAATTACCTTGGCAGAACAACTTGGCATTCTCCTAAATTTGTGCTTTTTAGCAACAAGACTCCTTCCTGCTGTATCTTTTAATTGCCTGTGCCTGAAAGTTTTCTCAACATTATCACTTTACAAAGTGGATAATCAACACTTACTTAATTTCAGGCATCTCTGCCATGCTCAAACAATTACTTGTCTCATGTTTTTTTCCTCCCCCCTTTCCTTTTCCCTGTAGAGGAATACATTCTTTCTTACTGCTAATACACACCGCAATTGCAATGTGCTGGAGCGTGGATATTAGTCTGAAGCCCTATGAAACCTTGAAAGGTTTCTGAACCAAAGAGAAGTCAACTACGCAGTGTCACACAAGCAGTCTCTATAAAAGATCTTAATTTAAAGACCCCTTTCTGCATTATAAATTAGTTTTATTTGTATAACGTTTTCTGGTTCCTGATCTTTATAGTCCTATAACTAAGAAAGGTGGTTTAAGAAGGAAAGTAAGACTACCAAATGTCCTAATTCCTCATGAAAATGGAATTTTTAAGGGATGAAAAACAAAAAAAATCTGAATTTTAAATTCTAAAAGTGATTAACTACAAGCACAAACTTATGAAGCTGCTTGTAAGTAACTAACATTCAAAACAGCAGCCCTGCAGATTTTCCTATCCCAGGCACTTATCTCCCATCGTCCACAGTAGATTCACTACAAATTCAATACAATGATTACAAGTATCTAGATCTGTAGCACACAGATCCATAGCAACACTGAGGATCTCTTATGTTAATTTCTGTGCCCAGAGGCTTTTCTGACACTGAATTAAAGAAGCCACTGTATCATTCCTATAACAAGATGATTATCTTGGAATGAAGACTAAGTAAAAAACTCTTTGAAAAGAGTTAGTCTTCCAAAGCCTTTAGAGAGCAGAGAAAATTACTCACATGGCTTACATCATCAGTTCTCAAAAGATATGTATCTGCACACATCCTATTCTAAGGAGAAAGGGCATAGTAACCATTATGTTACACTCTTTATTTATGATTCTATTTTTAATGTGGTAGATAATCTCCTTAGAATTACTGATTTTTAATGGGGCATTTTGAAAGATTCATTTTATTGCTGTTGCAGGTGAACAAACTAAGAGGACTACAACATCATTTACCAATAATCCATTAGTGTCACATCCCAAATTCTTCAGACACGAAGGTGAGACATTTTTCCTCCTTGTAGTGTCAAAACATATCTCGATGTCTGCTGAGTGAGGGCTTAATGGTTTTAGAGAACAATACTAGTGAAGTCCTAAATCTGTGTGATAATTCTCAGTGAGCAGTCATCTTTCTCATCTATTTGCAGAAGTCAATGAGGGTATCAGAGGTGTATTCTTTGCAGAGGAACATCTGTCATCCCTGGTATATGTTCCAGATGTGTGAAAGCATATCAAAGGAGAAAACACACATAGTGGAAGTCCAAAGGAGTGAATCCTGTCCCTATATCACCACTCTACTGGTATGGCACACAATATTCTAAGTAAGGAAGAGAAGAATAACCTACGAGTTGAGCCATGACTGACGCACTGCTGCTGGCAGGCCCCTCACAGAGTATCTGGATTTCCCCAGTAAGCTGCAAGATTAATCACAGAATAATACTGCCTCTGTTTCAGAGAGCAGGGAACGAGGTTTGATATCACTGAGAAGCATATAGACAAAAAGTGGCAAAGAGGACAGAGGTGTTACACATACAATAAACACTCAGCATGAATTGGTGGACAGACCAGTTCCAGAAATGGGCTCAACATACCAATTTTTACTAAAAATGTTGGTTGTACTCTATCATCACGACAGAAGGGAATCAGATATATTTTCAGCAGGATCTGTGTGAGCAGCCTTCAATGTCTATGTACTTGTGCTGATAATGGTGCACTCCAACTGACAATATGAAGTTATCCACACATGCAACAAACTTGCTTTTGGATTTCCCTGAAAGATACAGTCTTATTGTTCTTTACAATGAATAGTACTTATTATATTGTCCTCACCTATATTCTTCTGCTGCACACACCATTTATGTGAGCGTGAGAACCACTCAAAAATTATTGTCTGAAAGCTTTCAGATGACCACATTCCATTCACATTTTGCTTTCTTCACACAGTAGAAACATATAACACCACATAAAAAGGGTAAAAAGGAAAACAGAAACAATAACAAAAATCTGCTGAACCACCATGAAAACTAAGCATAGAAAAATCTATTCATCTGGTCTGCATGACACATCAAATTCTATGAACAACAGGGTCAAATTCCTGGGTGCAGAAAGAAGAAAATAAAAAAATATATATGTTTTTGGAGCACAACATGAAGCATTTTCCTGTAATCTTCAAAAAATACTGCAGTTAGGTTTATAATCTGCCTTTCTTTAACAACAACAACAACAAAAAAAGTCTCAAAGAAGATAAATTTTAAACCTTAGTTTTAGAAAACTGGGTAGTCAGCAGCTTATCCACTTCTTGATTGGGAAACAGCAAACTGAAAAACAGCACATATGTAGTAGCTGTTACTTGTCAGGTTTTGAGACAACTGTTAGTAGTAGCTGGACAAGTACCCTGTGCATTCCATGGTCATATCAGTGCTGCTATATCCATAAGGTGTTTTGAAACCTGAGAGATTGTTCAACAGTGTATAAATAAGTGTCAGAAAGAAAGGAATGAAGCTTTTTTTTTTTCCTCCCTGTTGGACACCAGCAATAGTATTCTGCAACAAACCCTGACATCTATAGCAAAGGTCTACGAGTGTATCAAGACAAGAAGAAGAAAGGAAGAGAACAAGACGATAAATACCAGTCAGTCACCGAAGAGCAGGACTAGAACATCAGACATGGTATGGACAGGAGCGTCACACACTGCCAGATATATTGAGGAAAGTAGTTGTTCACTCTTGCTGTGACTAACTGAGCACAAGATATTGGGATAGTCTGAATACCAGAAGCTCAGTACCAGTACAGAACTAAAATACAGGTAATTTTTTTTAAGTAAACATAATAATTGTTTGTTGTGAAAAGGTTTTGGAGCTAAAAAATGAAATGTGCAAACACTGTAAGAATCAAGAATTTCTTGGTATACAGAACTAAAATATTCATAAAATCATAGAATATGGTGAGTTGGAAGGGACCCATCAGGATCATCAAGTCCAACTCCTGGCCCTGCACAGGATGCCCCAAGAATCACTTATATTCTGACCACAGGAAAGAGGTATTAAAAGTTTTACTTACTTTGGATGGGCAAATTCATCCACTAGGACAACCTTTTCTATCAAGTCTCCACCAATGGTTCGAACCAAGTCATAGAAATCATTCTCAGAGTATGTCTCAGAAGGCAGCCAAAAGGAGATGTCATTGATCAAAGGTGGATATCTGCTGAGTGGCTAAAAAAAATAAAAAACCATACTGTTATACATGGCTGGACTTATTAAGTATACCTACAATTGTTCTGAATTTGTATAACACACAGAGGACACATTTTAGAGGCTTTCTGAAATGCTTTTTGAAGTGCAAACTGACCTCATAAACAACCCAGCTACAAGATTTCATACTAGGAAATGTCTTTTAAAGATCCCCTCAACCACTTTGATTTATTCGTTCAGAAGACAAAACTTGTTTTGTTTACTAAAATCAGCATTTACGAGCCTGAAAACACTTTTGGTCAGAGCTGTTTTAAAAGACTAGATCATTTTAGGCTGATTATTTGCTGGGTAGAATTGCAATTTTTAAAAGTGTTTTTCAGACTCTTTACCGAGTTAAAAATTCTTATCACATTCATGTTTTAAATTTACCTGTATGTTATGTGATTCTTATATGACACAACATGTTGATTATTCATACTGTCCAATTTCTAAGAAAGTCAATAGGTGCCTTGTTATTGAAAGCTTATAATAAGAAACACACTTTGGCTTAAAAGGAGGGATCAATCTACTTCCCGTTAGTATAGTCATCCAAACATCTACAAGAAAGGTATTGCTGTCAGCATAATTATTCATTCCACAAGTACCACAACAGGTTTTTAAATATAAAGGGGCATCTTTGCTGCAGACATAAAGACCTGATCTTATGGGCAGACAGTGTAACTTGTTATTTGCAAAAACAGGAAGAGAAACAAAATCAGGTAATTATTAATTTTCCAGTTTTGATGAAACTTCCATGGACTCAGTGGGTTTCAGATCTCACCTTTAGTGAGATGTTTCTCCCTTGGAAGAATAGAAAAGGGTAATGCTCTCCTTTCATGACCTCTAGGTCATAAAGTGTCTCAGTTTTGCCTTCCATTAATATCCTGCAGTTGAAAAAAGTACTTTTGTACAAGATTGTTGGGGTCTGCAAGAAGAAACATTTTTTTTTTCCTTAATTTTGCTTATATGTATTTGACATACTATATGGACACCCTGATCTATACAGTGTATTATCTCACTCAAAAATGTATTCCATGCCTGAGAATGCTTTATGATGGAGCAGTGGAAACTTAAGTGAGTACCTGCTAAAGCAATAAACCTGTTAATAAGGCAAGTTTACAGCATGCTGATTTACTCAAATACTGTTCTGTAGAGTGTAAACGAGTCAATAAATATCTGATAAGGAATATAGTGCAGTTTTAAATTAATAACCCCCCCAGTGAATAAAACTGTGAATCACAAATGATTATCCAACTTGTTAAAGGAATAAAGTTGTCAAATGAATTCATATCTTGTACACCAAATTATAAAAAAACCTGCACAACAAATTCATCACAAAAGAACTCTTGATAAAACACTAATGAATGACATGCAAACGTCTCTGCTATACAAAAGTCACAGCTGCAAATGCTCGAGATGCTCCTCAGTCAACAACCTGGTACATGTGTTAGCGTAAATAAAGTTATAATCCTGCAGTTGCCCCCTATATTCCCACCTCAGCCCCCTCTACCACTATATTTATCACTGCTCTATTTCAGGAACCTACTGAACACACCTCAAAGCTTGCGGGGACTAATCCAAAACTCACTGAACTCCTAGTTCCAAAACATTTAATTATTCAACCAGAAAATGTGGTTCATGAACCTAAGCATGACAAGGCACCTTTTTCCACTCACACAGGTATAAGGACACTAAAGAAAAACAATTATATGTTCAAGTAATTCAGTAATGCCCTAATTTCCCAAAAGGAATAGAGCCCTCAAAATTCAAAGTGAGTATTTGCTATTGATTTTAAAAGAAGCAGGAATATGTCAAGCACAAGAAGACAGCACTCTTTTTCCCATTTAAAATAAGATGCACACAAGTACCCAATGTGGTCAGGTCTTGCAAATGTAACTGGTAGAGTTTGACTGACAGTCTCATCAAATTCTATGTGAGCAAAGTTGCTCAAAGATGTACTAAACTGTAGAGTCTGGCTCTCACAGATTATCAACTGTATAGGAAAACTGCTTCTTTGACTCAATTCATGGTGTCATTAGCCTAGGTATGCCTGTGTGTTGTTACAAAGACTGGAAGGACAAATGCTTAAAGCATACCATAAGCAAAACTTTTTATTATTAGGCACTAACCTTTTCTCAGAGCCTTATAATGCAGAAAAATCTTTTATGGTAAAAGGCAAGGCAATAATCCCACATTATATCGTCCCTTCACCACCTGGCTGCAGTCAATATCATTGCAGTGAGTATTATATCAACGCTAAAGTTAGTGCAAGGATAAAATCCCTAGTTCTAAATGTATCGATCTGTTTGTTGTAGAGCTACATGAGCTACATAATAGTTTTTTAGCTACACCTAAATTGCAAATAGGTCAGTAAAAGAGTCTCCAACTGGCAAGTCAAAATGAAGGTCCTAAGTTTATATCCAGGCACCCCAGCAAACACATACTCTGGTCTAACCGATCCCTTGGCCGTTCTTTGATCCTTTCTAAACTCTCCTGCTCTTTATCAACAGGTTGGTCTACAGCCCATTAACTTTGATCCTTTCCCAAGTTCAAGGCAAATGCCAGCCCTGGAGACCATTTCCTTATGATTTTACAGACATTTTAAAGACTCCCCTTGAGACAAATGTGTTCTTTCCACTAAATCTTCTACTCTGCCATCAACTCCAGCCACTACTTCCAGCTACATCCCCTTCATGGCTTAGAAGAGCTCCAGCACAATGCTGGGAGAAGCTAACAGGACACCACTTGGCTCTGCTCACCAGTTTGTGGGCTGGCCAAATTCTAGCATGCTACCCAAACCTGGAAGCCCTGCTGTTCCTCCTTTCACTCCCTGATCAGCCCCCTTAGGTTTTGGGGGAACTGAAAAGAGGTTTAGGAGAAGGTAGAACTGATCTCACCCACACAGTGTTGCTGCATGGCACTGGCCAGGAGTGGTAGAGTGCATTGCCAATGCACAGACAGCTCTGCACCACTCCTTTTGGATCCATCAGAGCTCTATCACGACAGTGCTACTTTAAATGTTCTATTTACTTTCCATTTCAAACACTGCAGTGTACTATCTTTGACATTTTTCAACAGCATTGGAAAACAAAAGTGCTTTCCCAGTAATTACACTATCCATAGGACTCCACTGAGCCCATTTTGTAGGAAATATTGCAAATAATGTCATTGCATTTTTAAATCACCCGGGGTGAAGGCATTTAGGAGTGCTGAATTACTAGCATTTTTTAAAATTAAAAAATGGGAGCTTATGGTGATCCACCCTCAGTGATACATGTTTACTAGTCATTAGTCACACTTCCTTCTCTGGTTAATAAATAAGCCCCGTAGTTACTAAAACCGCAAGCTTTTCCCTCTAAGGATGCTAATTTTAGTAAAGAAATGAGTATTTGGAAACCAGTGCTATACTCTGTTCTGCCAGCCTGCCTTGCATGTGCCTAAATGTACCTAAGGAGTGCACCACTGAAAACACAGGGCTGTGACTCTCCTATATGGGTCTGTGACACCTGAAACCAAGTATTTGGCATTAGGAAAAAAACCCACACTTTTCCCCAGATGCAGTAACCATGAATACAATATGGAGAGGGGACAGGAGAAGTTTTGTGAAGCGGACTCTCACTCAGTTCCTTCCCTGCTGCAGGCTGCAGATGGGGGAACACAACAAACAAATGACAAACAGAGCAGAGGAAAAAGCTGTACTTGTATTTTGAGAGCGGCAACACAAATGCAAGGTTAATGACGGCACGTACCAAAAACTGGGTTAGCAACTCCACAGCAGCCAAGCTATTAAAAAGCCAGCCATGCTTTACTGCCATCACCAGTCTAAGTCAGAAAAATATGAGACTTAGCAGCCTCGTGGCTGTCAGGCTTTAACAGTCCTGCACTGCCCATGCTTTGGATAAACATCTACATAAACTATACAGTTTTAATGCAACATCATATTCACATCAAAATGAAAGCTACGGTCCTGTAATATGCCTTTCTTAATATATTCCACGGTGAAACTACATTAATTCAGTGTTATCATAGGAAATTTAAACACGTAACAGGCATGAAATTCAAATTTGCAAATTTATAACTGTAACTTATCCCCCTTGCACATAATGAAGTTTCCTGTATTAGTGTGTAAGCTTTTAGATTTACACTTCCATATTTATGGTCAGCATAGACAAATTACAGTTGCTGCAGGGAACATAATTTTGAATCTCTTGGCGGCCATGGCTTAAAATTCACAGTTACAATGTTCCCCATTATTATAAGTTTTCTACCTCTCCCTTCATCAAATCAATTTTTTTCTCAGTTATATGTAGTATGTTCTATATATTCATGCATGAATACACACACACATATACATTTTTATGTGTAAAGACATACACACATCTTCAAAGGAGGAAGTGAAGAAATTTCAACAGAGGACTTCCATAAAGTCTGATAAGCAGGTATAAAAATATGTTCTGGGAATAAGCTCTTAAAACCAAAGCAAATGGACTATTCTGGGATTGATGCACTGCTCTGTCCTTCTGCAGGGAATAGCAGAAGCATTTTAGCCTCCAGTGATGCTCGGAGCTTCTCAGGGAATGAACACAGAAGTATTATCAGCCCTTTTTGGAGAGCAGTCTGCTCCCCTCAACAGAACTCTTAGCTTTAAAAACCTCAAATACAGGTATGGGGAACACCATGTGTTCATGAGAACATCAGGAGCTCCATGGATTTCAGGCACTCTGCTTGTGCATCAACCATTTGGAGTGGAAGAGGTTTTCTTTGTACATGGACAAGAATGTTCCGTCCTTGGTCTGAAAACCTTGTGAGTGCCTTTGACTGCCCCATAAGGCTTCAATTCATTTGGTCTGAAAAGGGAAACATGCTTCACTATTTCTCAGAGAAGCAAAGGGAAAAGAAATAGAGCAAAGGATACATCAGGTTTCACATGAATTAAGGGGGCATTTTTCTCATACAGTCTATAACTGAGGACCTGTTACATG